CCACCCTCACAGCACAGCCAGGATGTCATGCGACCCCTCCTCTATTTCTCTAAAAAATATAATTGCTGCCAGAACCCGGCTTGCAGCCACAGGCTGCCCTGCCATACCTCAACTCCCACCCCAACCCCTTCGTACCCCCTCCCCAGAACCCCCAGCAACACCGAGCCGCTGTTCCAGGGCAAGGAACACTGCACAGGAACACTCCTTTGCTGGATGGGTCCCTGGCTCCTGCCCCACAGCTGGTTACCTCCCTCCGCCAGCCTCTCCTCCCACTGAGCTCAGTCTCCCCACCCGCCCCTCACTATCCCGCCGGCCTCTCTCTCCCGCTGACGCTGGGGCTGGCTGGCCGGCCAGCTGGAGGCTCTGCTGCAAGAGGCTCCGGGGACCCCCGTCCTGCCAAGAGGCCTGCCCGCAACGCAGCCTGCCACAGACTCAGGTGCTAACGGCACCCACCTGGCTGGAGGCACAGTGGGAGAGTCTCTGCCGGCCTGATGCCGGGCAGCGCCGACCCGAAAGGGGACGATGCCAAAGGCGGTTGCTGCTTCAGGAAGAGCACAAGGGGAGCCCCCCACCCCAGCAGTGCCTGGGGGGCGTGGGCTGCTCTTCATAGCCCTGTGCGTGTGGGGATGGGAGAAAGTGGGGTTCTGACGGGGAACAACCAGCATCGTGATGGGAAGGGGAAAACGTGGCGCCACGTTGGGGCGGAGGGCTAGCCAGGAGAGGGGAACGTGGCCCAGGCGACAAGCAGCTTGCCCGGTTCTGGCCTGGCTCCCACATGCAGGTGCGGTGGTTGCCTTCACCCTGCCCACTGGTCCCTGGATGCTGCTCTTCAGCGCCAGACGGAGTGCAATGGGAGCCCCCCTCCCCCTTCCATGCTCTGATCATGAAAGGGACACCTGGCCTGGCACGCGGCATTGAGACCTGGGTGGGTGAACAGTGGGGAGTTCACCTCTCCCAGCTCTGCCCACCCGGCTATTTGGTGGGTAAGCTGTTTGGTGGCGGCATGGCCTAGAGGAATTCCATCTCCCCTCCAGGCTGGCTCCTCGCCTAGAGTGCTTGCATCATGTGCTGGGCCAGTAGGACAGATTGGGGACTCGGTTGGTCCACTGTCCACCCCATGACCCATCAGCTGCCTGAGTGGACAGAGCGTATTCGTCCGAGTGTTATGCCACAAATGATTGAGTTAAATTTGAGTAAGTGATTAATGAAATCCCAAGGGACATTGACAGATGAGCATTTATAAAGTTAAGTCTATGGGGTAAGGTAAAATACACTTAAGATGAATGCCATACCTCATCTGGTTTGTGAGGTATTCCCTTATTCACAGCTGGCAAGTATGACCTGAAGCGTAACATTTCATACATTTTTACGTACCGTGACTATCCTTGAAATGGATGGAACTTTTGATCAAAGGGGTGGATTTGGCGACTGGAGCCTTCCTTATAGATTGGGCCTATTTGCTGAAGCTTTGGAATCTTCCTTCCTAGATCCTCTGTCCAGGTGGATTGCACTGGGTTTGCCTCAGACCAACGGAGGGAATGGTCACTAGAGAGCTGCCGCTTACGTGTTCACATTAACGGTGGTTTGGCCTATTTTCACAAGTAATAATGAAAATTTATGGGGGAATCCAGAGTTTTAAATTGGCAAGAAAACATTGCCAATGTTTGGCAGACTTGGATGGGCAGGCCAGGCTTGACTTTGGACCAGCTCGTCTGTCCCGATGATGATTTTTTTTGGGGAGGGATTCTCTTCTTTGCAGGGTAACCATCAGCAACTCCAGCTGCATGGCAATATATCCAAATGGAACACCTGTTAAAATCCAGGTTGTCTTGCTACTTTACAGCTTCAGAGTCGTATGTGTTATTGGAAGTATTGACTGAGGCCGGACAACTACATAGGTCTAGAATTCATGTGTATAAATATCCATTGTCACTGAATAACTATGAAGTGCTGGCTCTCAGCCAAAAAAGGACGGTCTCTGTGAACCGACCAGAGACGAAAGTGATTGGACGGGCTAGAAATATCCCAAATAAAATAAATAAATAAATATAATGACCTAGAGCCCCCCATTTTGCCCAGTCAATGGAAAGCTTAAATATTATCTGTTTTGCAAGGGATCGTGGCTCTCAGGCTATGCCTAATTCAGCAGAAATTGATGTTTCTGAGCATCACAATGCCTCTTTGATAACAGTTTGATTAAATTTGTCAATTTTTGGAGGTGCAATGCCACTAATGCCTCTCTTCTTTATGTGTTTTGGCAACGCCCAATGGCAACTTCCTTTGGGAGGATGTAATGATTTGGATAAATCTCATGATCTTAAAATTTCAGACCCATGTTCTTTTGAATTATTTATCTCTTGGAATTTAATGCAAAGTCATTGTAAATGGATTTTCTGCAGCTTTTTGACATCTAAAAGAAAAAAAATTCCAACTCTGGAAGGATAAACTGCTCCCTGCAGTAACACAATGGGTGGAGCATTAAATGGAACATTCAAGTTTTGAACAGGTGGCCTTAGGCATAACCTATAAATGGATAAATATACAGATATTTGGGGTACCTTTTTTGTAATCTATGCATAATAATTTTAATGATGGCAGTATGTTCTGTTGCATATTAATACCTAGTAATATGTATGTAACCAGTGTTTGTTGTTGTTGCTAGTCGCAAAGTCATGTCCGACCCATCGCGACCCCATGAACAACATTCCTCCAGGCCTTCCTGTCCTCCACCATCCCCCGGAGTCCACTCAAGCTTACACTGACTGCTTCAGTGACTCCATCCAGTCACCTCATCCTCTGCCGTCCCCTTCCTCTTTTACCCTCAATTGTTCCCAGCATCAGGCTCTTCTCCAGGAAGTCCTTCCTTCTCATTGGGTGGCCAAAGTATTTGAGTTTCATCTTCAGGATCTGGCCTTCTAAAGAGCAGTCAGGGTTGATCTCCTCTAGGACTCTCCTCCAGCACCACAATTCAAAGGCCTCAATTCTTACTGATCTTTTAAAATCTTATTCAAAATTGTGATTTTATTCCATTCTTCTTTTTCTTCTCCAGTGGGATGCTTTCATTTGGCTTTTCAGTAGCACAATAAAAAAGAGAGGTTCAGTTGTTGGGCCAGTAAGAATAAACAAAATGTTGCTCTGGTACTGCAAAGGCTTGCCATTTCGTTTTATTTTTTTAGCTGGGAATACAGGCCAGCCAGTGCTGACAGGAGCGCTCAGCTGCATGCCTGGAATTCAAGTGAAAGCCAGACAAGAAGTCAGCCCTAATTCCTGGATGTGATGTGGTGTCCTGCACTTTTTGCAACCCTTGATAGGTTTATCATTTCAGTACCTTGCAAGTTGTTGGGATATTCAGATAAGTCCTGGTAGAAGGTTGCTTATGTGTGTCCTTGTGTGATAAAATCATACCTGCAACATCTCTGCACCCCTTTCTCAGAAAGTACCGGAATTTCAAGGCAGCATTCTGTTTAGTGTTATTTTCAAAGCTGTTCCTTTAAGAGATGGCTACTGCCTTTGGCTGGAAAAGCCTTTGCAGTATGGGGCTCCCCAGGAAAGTTAACCCCTGGCTATTCTTAGGCTATCAGCAAACAAAAATGATAACTTTTCCCAGCAGTATTGCGATCACCCTCATTTGCATGCCAAGACCCTCAATAATCCGATCCTTATGTTAATCTCCTGTAGTCAATGCTACCATATTGATTCCAGATCTCTCACATATTTTTGACTGCGCTCCCCTTATTTTGTCATCATCTCCTCTGCTGCTGTGGGTCAGACTCTATAAAACACTCTGTATATGTTCTAAAAGCTTCTGGTTGACTGTGAGGACCACTACCCCTCAGCATGCTGGCCTAAGTAATGGCAGGGGGCCTGGGTGATCTCACCAGTAAAACCACTTGGGTTCAAGGCAATTCAATCTTCCCTGTGGGTCTGAGTGTTTATACCCACCATTTGTAAGGAGACTCTGACAAAGTACAGCCCATTTCTAGATAAAACTTATTTGCTTAGCATGTTCAAGACTGAGTTGAGATTTTGTGATAAGCCATATTCAAACGTAGCCTGTGGGTTGAGTGCGGGTTCTTGTTGAAATATGGGCAGTCCTTTCTGAACCCATGGCTTGTTAGGAGCCTAGGAAGAGAATCTGTGGCTTGTTGCTGGCTCATGAACTACCCGAAGTTTGCCCTGCTTATCACATCCATCTCACTCAAGCAACGCCATCACCCACCTTTCAGAGAAAACCCCGTCACCCCAGTGTCGGTTCTCATCGTGCCTGAACTAACCCAGTTAGCCAGGAGGGCCAGACGTATTCATTCCACGGACAGGATTCGGCATTTGATCTATGGAGTGATAGCGGCCTAGAGTACATATGTTACCTATTGTTATGTTGCATGGTACGTTTACGTCTTTTTGACATTTAAAAGCAAAAAATGGCCTCTCAGGTGTTGGCGATAGGCTGGTCACGATGGAGGAAGGTATAAAGAAACGAGGCCACTCCTTTTCCTTGCCTGGAAACTGTCTCCTGGAGGAATCTGCCGAAATGACTGAAGTGAGCACTGCGCTGCAATGTCCAGGGAGCGCTCCGCCGCACCCAGAGTTGCAAAGCGCCGCTCCCGCCGCGCCCCCTTTCATCCCCGGGGACAGCGGTGCAGCCCGGAGAGAGAGGCGCACCCAGCCCGCGGCGAAGCGCACATACCGCTGGCTCACCCTGAGCGCCTGCGCAGACGGGCCCGACACCCTCTGCCTCCCTTCCATTTCTCACCGCGTAACCAACCTTGATAACGAAGTTAAAAAAGCGCGACTCCTTCTCTTTTATGACATTGATCGACCCGTCAGCCGCCCAATGGGCGCGCGACAGCCTCTGAAGCGTCGATCGGCAGTGGCGCGTCGAGAACGAAGAAGGCGGGGCTTACTTCGCTCCCTTTCTTTCCCGTTTCTCCCGTCCCCCTTTGGCCCGGCCAGCCACTCAGCATGTTCGGGTGAGGCCTCTTTGGTGCGCTCGGGGCGGTGTCTCCGGCTCAGTGTGATCGGAGGCGGCGGAGGGGCCGGGCCGATTGTTGTGATGAGGCTGCTCATGGCGTCGTCGGGAGCCGTCGCGGGAGGCGCCGGGCGGAGGTAGCGCGGCCTGCTGAACGGAGCCGGGCGCCGCGGCGCGGGCGTGATGGAGGACAAGGCGGCGAAGGAGGACGGCGAGGCGGAGATCCAGGAGCTGCACGGGCCCGAGCACTGGTTCAGCAAGTGGGAGCGGCAGTGCCTGGCCGAGGCCGAGCAGGACGACGGGGCGCTGCCGCCCGAGCTGCAGGACGACGACGAGGCCGCCGCTGCGCCGCAGCCCGAGCACAAGCAGCAGAAGCTTTGGCACCTCTTCCAGAACTCGGCCACAGCCGTGGCGCAGCTCTACAAGGGTGAGCGCAGGCTCCAGGGAGGGCGCCCGGGCGGCGGCCTGCGGCTCTTCCGCCGGGCGAGCGGCGGGAAGGGAACATTGGGTGAGGGCGGCTGCGTGTCCGCGGCGACCGTCTGCACCATGCGGGCGCGTGCCCAGGCGTGTTCTCCGCGTGCCGGCCCCCCCCCCGCCGGTCCTGTCTGCGTGCCTCGAGCCACGCAGCGCCCCCTCTCCGCACTCGGCGTGAGGGGGAGTCGCAGAGGCGCTCGGCTCGGCTTTCGCCCACCCCTCAAGGGCTGCCGGGGCGGCGGGAGAGCGCCTCTGCCTGTTCGTGCGAAGGGGAGGGGCTGGCGAGGGGCAGGGGGCGCCCGGCCTTTCTGCGGCCTCGCCGGGCGGCAAGTCCGCCTCGGCCTCGGGACACCCAGGCACGACGGCCACGCACAAAATGGCGTGAGGCGGATTCCGCCCCCGCCTGTCTCCCCCCCCCCCGCTTGGCCCAGAGCGCGCAGGTGGACCCGGGTGTCGCGCGTGGGCGGAGAGACGTTGGTTTCGCCCGTGCTCGCTCTCCCCCGTCTGCTGCGGGAAGGTGGGGTCGTCCGGGTCCATTCGGCCCCTCCTTTCGGCCTCCCGGCGGCCCTTCCCACTGGCAAAATGGCGAGGGGGGGGCGAAAGAAGCAGCTGCGTTGCGGGGAGGGCACGCGGAACAGGGGGGTGGGCGCATGTCTCGAAACGGCAAGATCGCCCCCACGCGCGCACGGGAAAAATCCGCGGGGCGAGGCGGTGCAGTGGCCGGCCGGCCGGCCCCCTGTCGGCGATGGCACGTGGGTGCTTCCAGGAATCTGGTGCGACTCCCCCTCTCGAGAATTGGCCGCTTCCAAGTTGCTTCACATCCTGCTTTTTCCTCCTGTCTCTCCCTGCGGCCCCCCCGCCCCGAAGGCTCCCATTTCCTCCTCCTTCCCCTCCCTCTTCCGTCCCGGCGGCTGAACAAAATGGCGAAGCCCAACATGGCCGAGGGAGGCGGGCTGAATGACAGGCTGTAAGCGGCCGTGGAAGGAAGCGAGAGACCCGGGGCTCTAATGGCCTGCCTTTCTGCCTCCCCTCTTCTTTTTCCCCTTTCTTCGCGCAGACCGGGTGTGCCAGCAGCCGGGCCTCTCCCTCTGGGTTCCGTTCCAGAACGCTGCCACCGCAGTCACCAACCTCTACAAAGGTGAGAGATTTCGGGTCCGTGGGTGGGAACAGCGTGTGCGTGGGGGTGGCAGGGGGAGTCTAGGAATTCAGCTCCTGCAGAGGGTTTCTGAAGGGAAGAGGAGCAACTGCTCATTTGTAGGCACTCTTTGTTCCTAGGGCTCTGGGGAGGGGTGCTATTTTCCTTTTTCCTGTTGTCCTCCAAGACATAGTTACACTGACACATAGGTAATAATTGCATACTGGTCTTGTCCATACTGGTCTTGTTCTCTTGGGTAGGCAGTACATGTGAATAGGTCCAGGGTGGGCAATGCATGTTAATATATTTATGGGTCTCTTTGTCGTTGTCAACTTGATATCTACGCAATTGGTGGTTGCATAGTTCCTTAGTCTGAGAAAGTTTTGATCCTCATTCCCTGTTTGGGTAGGTTCCAGTGTGGTTTGTACTTGGCAGCATCAGATTGCTTAGGCACTTTATTCCTGCCCCCCTCTGTTCAGGAATTGGTGCCCCTGGACAGTCTGGTTATATGCTTCTAAGTATGGAATTAGGGGTAGGGGAGAGTTACAGATGGTTGGACATAAATAAGGTTAGAGGGTGTGTTGGAATGAGGAGGTGGCAAGAATAGTCTAGGATACAGACATTTAATGTAAAGTTCACAGTGAATAGGTGAGTTGTGATCTGACCTGTGACTGTCTTCTGAATGGAGTGGACAAAGGTACATAAGGAGAAAATGGCAGAAGCAATCGAGAGGAGTAGGCCAGGGGGATGTCATGGCCTGCACTATTTAGACTTTTTCACTTCCCCCACCCCCAGGCCCCATGACAGGAAAAGCAGGACCATTCCAGCAGTCATATTGAATATGTACTCCCCCCCCATCCATTCCCTTTTCCTAGAATGGGATCAAAATCATATCACACTTTAAAATCATAACTGCTTAGTCAAGGACTGACTTTTGTTGATTGATTGGAAGGTACCCTACAGCCTGATTTGACTAAGGATTCGGATAAAAATGCTTTAAAACAATAATACTAGGGTCTGGAAATTGGGGCTAGTGGTGTAATACATAGTTTTTTCCAGGCTTTGCCAGAACTGTACTTCATTTTTTAGAAAACAACAGGTCTGGGGTATGGTGAAATGAGTTTAATAAATGCAGTGCTCATTGTTAGGTCCAAGAGTAGATTTGATGTGGATGTGAATATGGTGGCTGCCTGTTCTTACGTAGCTTTTGCAGAATTAGTTGTAATGGAAAGCATAGGAAAGGAACCAGGTGGAAAGGAACCAGGTTACCCAGTTCCAGAATAGGACACTGAAGCTACCTGAAGGTGTTTCCAGTGCCTTTCCTTTATTTCCTCAAATTCCTTGTGTCATGCAGATGTCCAAAAGCTCTTTCTGATAGATTTCCCCCCTCCCCACCGCCCAATATCTTTGTCTATCTGTTAAATTGACATTTTGCTTTTTAGCTTCCTGTTTTAATTGAATTCATATAATGTTCATTTGTGGTGTGTGCGCGTGTGCATCCCTGCATGCATGCTTCAGGTTAGCTATTGAATATTTTGAATCAAAGTGCTTTAACATATTCTGTTTTATGATTCCATGTTAAAAGTTACCTTGAGGTTTGTTGTTATAGGGCCTCCATTTTTTAAGAAACCTTTAAAAAGTTCTATTTCCCTGCAAGGGAAATTTCTGCAGCATAAGAAGGGAGGTAGAAGTTAGAAGCTGGATATTCTAGGGTGCTTGAAATAGGAAACAGTGACCACTTGGAATGGTGTCAAACCTGTGAGTTTCCCTAGTTTCCAAAGGGAATAGTATGCTTTAAATTTCATATAGAGCATAGTGGTCTTTGGGTCTTTATGGTTTGGTTGTGGACAGTGGAGAGAACTGATCTGGTGCTAGCCTGGTGCTATTTATATTAACTTCTAAATAAACTTAGGGAGATTAGTTACACCCAATGAATTACAAAGCAGTTGATATCAGTAGATGACAAAGCAACTTGTTATTTTTGGAAGTGCAGGAGAGACAATACCTAGTGCTGGAAAGGCTAGAATAAATTAGTCTGACAGAACTTGTTCTTTAATATAAACTGTTAGACTTTGGATTATTTTGTGTTCACCCTTTTATTTAAAGAAAAGAGGGAGGAATGAAAGCAATGGGGAAGAAATGCCCCTGTTAGGTTTTCTGTGGGCTAGGAAGTGATTCTCTGTGTAGATAGTCAGGAGTCCATAGTACAGAAATGGCCACAAGAACAGTAAGAAATGCTTGGGGTGGTGTTCTCATGTCATGTTCACACTTCCTAAAAGTTCATGTAATGTTCAAAGGTTCTTATGTACTCACAGTGGACCACTGAAAGCAGAAGTGCAAGTTCCTAGCCTGGCCATGAATATTGTGTTGCTTTTGTGCAGCTTTATGTTGGAGCACAATTTACCTTGTGATGACAAAAATGGCAACAATAAACCAGGATAGTGATATTTTTGTTGGACAGCATTTGCTATAGTCATGTGAGCTTTTTTATTGTAGAGCAATATGCCTAATTAGATGAATGTAGCATCCAGTGTGTGGTGGTTGGAATGGAATGCAGTACTGAAAACAGCAGCAGTTACTCATCAAGGGAGGTATTTGCCAGCTCAGCCAATAGGGTTAGTCAGTGCTGTTTTCCCCATTAGCTCAGCTGCCACTCTATTTGCTTATCACTTGGTAAGGCAAAACTGCAACAGCCATGTTTTTGGCTGAAGATGGCTCCTGTGCATGCCTCTTGGTAGAAACTTGGAGCTAGGTTGAAATGCACAAACTGGTTATTAGACTTGAGGGTCGCAAGGCCCTGTGCTGGAGTAGCATTGCAGTTGCATTCCCTGGCGCTGTGCAGGGGTGAGAACAGATGGACGGTCGTTTGTGCCAGCCAGGCTGCCACGGAGTGCTGCTTGCAACTTGAAACAGTGGAGGTGCATTATGCAGATCTGTTGACAATTCTGCTCCAGGTTGAAATGGTGCAGGAAGAATAGTTTTTCCTCTGTCTTTCCTAATATTAGAACCCATGGTCAGTTTCATGAAACTGAATGGTGCATGGAATAAAAATGCATGGAATAAAATGAAGCATTGCTTCTCACAGTGCATAGTTAAACTGGAATTTGCCAGTAGTAATGATGACCAACTGAGAAAGAATTTAGGAGAATTTAAGGATTCAAGGAGGATTAGACTCTTAAAGGCTGTATAGTACCTCCAGCATCAGAGGTGTGCTGCAGAAAGTGGGGGGTGCCATTATGCTGCTGTGAGCTTCTCATAGGTGGCAGTGAACAGAATGCTGCACTAGGTTTGTATTTATTACATTTATATCATTCTATTTCCCCTCTTGCAATTAAGGCTGCTAGCAAAGTTCTCTTAGATAGGCCTTTAGTCTGATTCAGAACAATTCTAACGTATCGCCTGCAGTATCAGGCAGAATCCAACTGAAAACAATTGCTGGGAAACATAAGCAGGAGGTGCTGCTGCTTTTGAGCTTTCTACAGGAGTCTGCTTGGCCATTGTAGGGACAGGATGCTGGAACAGATGAAGCTGTAGTCTGGATAGCATGGCTGTTAAGTCTTTGTGCCAGTTTAAATGTTGATACCATCAGTGATGTTTTTCTTGTATGCTGGTATGGAAGATCCTGAAATCTAGAACCAGTTTTATTGGCTTGTCTAGCACTATCTTGAGTAGGTTAATTGGTTTGGCTGTTGACTTGTTAGGAGGTCTTCTGCCAGCCTTTGCTAAGCTGTGGTCCCTGAGATCATGTTGAATTACAGCTCCCATCATCCCTAGCCAGCTGGCAGTTGTAGTCCAAAACACACTGAGGACACCAGATTGAGTAAAGCTGCCTTATGGGAATCATTCTCTCCCAGCCTTTTATCTGTAACCATGAAACTAAAATTGACCTCTCTTTGCATGTGTTTTGGCCAGAATTGATGAGATAGGCTAAACAGAACTAACATGTATTAATTGTGTTTACTCTTACAGGGGTGACAGATGTGGTCTCTTCCTGCCGCCCCCCCCCCCCGACATCTTTAGCCTTTCGGTAATTCTCTGATGGCTTGACCAAGAACGAGCAGGGATGGGCAGCAAGGATGGGCAACTTGAGACCGCCCAAATACTGTCGGACTGAATCTCTTACTAGTGGCAGCCAGCATAGCTAAGCCCAGTAGCATCTGTAAGGTTGCAAGGTGCACGCACTTTGCATGAGGCCAAGGTCATTTGTTGTGCTTTCTGTGGGAATTTGAACCCGTGTCTTTCCAGTTGCTGCTTGATGCAACAGCGACTATACTGCCCTGACATTCAATAATGAACATTGCTGACTTGCTTAAAGCAGGGGCATTAGCTGGATCTCTCCTATGGAAGGTGATTCTTCCAGATTGCAAGGAGATCTGTCTGGTAGCTGGATCTCTGTGTGTGTACTTTCTGAAATGGCAACATTGTTTTATTTCCATTACATTATTTACAACATTGCTTCCACTACTTCTCAGTGGAACTTCAACAAAAGCTTAGGATCAGGGGAATAAATCCATTTTAATTTTATTTATTTATTATTTGGAGTTTTTATATGCTGTCCCATTGCTTAACGCCTCTGGATGGCTTACATAAATAAACATAGACAGCATAGTGTCCAATACACATACAAAAATATAAATTACACAAATTAAAAACCCCAATTCATTCTGGCTGGAAATTAAAACTTATAGATAATATTAAACATTGTTAAAATATTGTTTAAATAAAAAGGTCTGAGCCTGGCTCCGAAAAACAAATAACGACAGCACCAGGTGGACCTCTCTGGGGAGTGCATTCCATAGATGGGGCGCCACCACAGAGAAATTTTAACAAAATTGGTGCACTCAGGTAATGGTCAATGTATTGAATATGATGAGAGATAAAGTAGAAAGTGTTACAAGTGCCTTTAGTGTTTTTACTGCCAGCTTTCCATGCCTTCTCACGAGAGAACATGCATTAACTCAAGTTAGCTAATAACTGTATATATCTTACATTTACACAACACA